ACAAAACAAAACACCCTTCTTAAATATTTAACATTGAAAAAAACAACCTTCCCCCAAATTACTATACATATTAGATTTAAGCTATATTCATGTTAGCATAAATGGGAAAAAAAGTTTTTAAAATTTTGGTTCAATAAGAAAATAACCAAAGAAAACATTACCTTTATTTTTTCCAAAGCCAACCATTATCATCACATCACTATTTTCCTCAAAATAAGTATTAAAATATATTTTAAAATATTCTGTTGATTCTTTGTTAAGACTGCAATTAAAAAGAATCCTGAAAAGCTTTCTCAGATCATGTAAAACTTTACAGTTTACAGCCATGCTGTGATCTAACTAAATAATTGAGTTAGACTTTGCCTTAATGTGTGTCCCCTGCCTCCGGCATAACAGGGTTTGCATCGTGTCTGTGTGTTTCTAATCTCTTTATTAAATATTTTAACATATAACCTTCTGGTTATGGCCGAAATCAACGTGAGGCCATGGCTGGTTTTCTTCTCACTGCTTTGGGGCCATATACGTATTTTCCTTCCACAGTAATTCTTATTATGGTTCCACAGGAGTCACTTAATTTTCAGTTACACTGTACTGTAGTTTGGGAATTTTGTGCTGCACATACATTACTGTGTCAATATTAATATATATATATATCAGTGTAATAGAGACTTGACTTTGGCCTTTATTTTGGATTATACTTTATTTCTTGCTGTTGTGCTTTTAGTTCAGAAAGAAGTGCTTCTTCATTTATGTTCAGAGTTATTTTTAGGTTAAAAAGAAAGATAGTTGGTCACTCAATAATGAGGAGGATAAGTGGCCGCGAATATTTGGCAAGGTGAGTTGACAATATTAAGCAAAGCTTTGAAAATTCTTTGAACTAACAATTGATCTTTTGGAAATATACCTTAGATAAAAAATAGCTGGGGAAATAGAGAATTTTGGACATTCAAAGGCTTGTATATAGAAATAGAAAACATCTAAATATCTGGTTAAAAAGAAATGTGAATCTAAACATTAAGGTAAAAGGAAGCCTAGAAAAATGAGGGTGTCAAAATGTATTTGACATGCAAGAATAGTTTGTGAAATATGATTCTATTTTCATTTTTTTTAAAAAAAGGCATATAAGGTCCCTGGTTGACAGAGATGATTTGAGTTTGACCACTAATTGACAGCTTAACAGTGTGAACCCATGAAAAAGAAAGCACCATGAGAGAAATCATTGTAATCTCTTTCCACAAAGATTGCTCCTGTTATTGTTGTTAGGTGCCATTGTGTCAAGTATGATCATAGTGACCCTGTGAATAACAGACTGGAACCCTGCCCCATCCTGTGTTATCTTCCTCATCTCTGACATACTTTATCCCATTGCTGCAGTCAATGTATTACCTCTTCTCTTTGAGGGTCTTCGTCTATTTTGCTGGCCTTCCCTCTTTCTGAAAAATGGATTCATAAAAAAAGCACAAAAATTCTGAGGGGGAGGGTAGGATCAAACTCCCAAGGCCAGCATGAGGCAGTTTTCTGTTCTATAACTTTACAAGTCATAATTGACTGGGCAGCAGCAGGTGTGTGTGTGTGTGTGTGTGTGTGTGTGTGTGTGTGTGTGTGTTGTGTATTTATTTTGATTTCTAGACCTATAAATATGTGCAAAATAATATCCATCAAATTGTATACTTCTAGGAGTCAAAGTTGATTTATTTTCCTCTCCACTTTATTCCAGTATTTGTCATGACTACTTTGTTTATGCAGTTGTTGTTGATTGCCTTTGGTTGAGCACAACTCATAGTAACCCTATGAACAAAAAGCCCCTCTACAACAATCAACATTTATCAAAGTTCATAGAGTTTCCAAAGGAGTGTTGTTTAGGAAGTGAATGCCACTCCTACTTCCAAAATTTTGTTTATAGGCTATAGGAATATAGATCAAACTAGTTTGAACAAAGAGAAGAATATTTTGATCTTGGTTCTTACCTGAGGAAAAAAACTCAGGGGTTAAGTTGGGACTCTGATGTTTGCTGAAGAATCTACCTTGATCTCATTTTAATCTTGTTTCTATGTCATTTGATTGTAGTAGAACATCTGCCATTGTCACCCTACACAGTCTTTCCAGTGATGCTGGAAATGCAGTCAGCTAAAACACCAAGCTTCCATCATCACAGCCTCATTGAGAGAAAGATTTCTTTCTAAAGCTAAGAGATTCACAGAACTATCAGGAAGAATTTGAATTTGCCTGGCTTGGATCTTGGTTGACTCCCATGACTATGTGGTGTGATATTGTGCTTGTTATATTCAACATGAAGTTCCTAACTGGGAATCCCAAAACCTTAATGACTTGCTCTGTTCACATTATATGTGCTATTCAGTCAAACTGACTACTAGTTGACCCCCTCCAGTGGATTTTTACATGGGTGGAGATTGTCCATCTTTCCTCCGAGGAGCAGCTAGTAGATTTGAACCATGTGCTTTTGGGTTGGCAGGGTAATTCTTTATGATTAAACCACCCAGGATCTCCAGTAATTTGCTATATACATAATATTTCTTCTTACTATCACAATTTGCTGTGGATGACTCCTTTTGGCAAAAATTTCTCACATGTAAGGTTCTCATCAGCTAGGGCTATTTTGCACATCAGACTGACAGAGGAAATATGTATTGCACGTGATGATTCAGGTCCTGACCTAGATATGACATGCAGAGTTCCTCTGAGAGAATAAAGTAGTTGCTTTTTCTGCACTTGATCCAGGGCATGGTCTTCACAATTACCTTACTACGCAGCAGAGAGCGTAGCTAAGCTCTCCTGCTCCTGCTCCAGGCCATGGTATTTGCAATTACTTGCTGTGCATCAGAAAGTATAGCAGTAACTAAGGATAACAGAAGAATTGGTGTCTTTGATTTGTGATGCTGGAGAAGAGTATTGAACATATCATGAACTGCCAAGGGAACAAATAGGTCTGTCCTGGAGTAGGTGAGAGCAAGTTGCTCTGTGGAGACAAGGATTCTGAAACTCCATCTGACACTTTGGGCCTGTTGCCAGGAGGGAGCAGTCCTCGGAAAAGGATGTCATGCTTGGAAGGTTGGAGGTACAGTGCAAGAGAAGAAGACCCTGGAGGAGATGGATTAACACAGTAACTGGGGTAATGGGGGTAAGTGTGCCAGAGACACTGAGACTGGCTCATAATAGAGCAGGATTCAGAGCCACTGTGCATAGGATTGCTGTGAGTTGCAGGTGACTTGATGGCAAAGAACAACAAAACAACTACTGTTGGTCAGGACTCAGTGGGCTTACAAATATCAGGAGCACCTGACGGCTCAGGATAGGATAAGCTGCATCTGTTCTACATAATTTTTGGATGAAATAGAAGAGAAAATCACACATGATTTTCCTGGTATTTTTCGTTAAATTCTATTAACAATGCAAAGGCATTTGACTGTGTGGATCATAACAGGTTGTGGGTATTGAGAAGAATGGGAATGCCAGAACACTTAATCGTGCTCATGTGAAACCTGTTCCTAAATGAAGAAGCTTCTGTGTGAACAGAGCAAGGGAAGCTACTTGGGTTAAAATTAAGAAAGGCATGTGTCAGGGTTGTATCCTTTCCCTGTACCTATTCAATCTGTATGCTGAGCACATGTTTAGGATTGGAGGAAGGCTCATCAATAACCTTTGGTATGCAGATTACACAACCTTGCTTGCTGAATGTGAGGAGGATTAGAAACACTTGCTTCAGAACATGACACTGCATCCTTCAATATGGATCACATCTAACCATCAAGAAAAGAAAAATTCTTACCAATGGACCAAGGGACAACATCATGATAGATGGAGAAAAGATTGAAACTGTGAACGAGCAATGGTATTCCAGTGGGAAAGCCCTCTCCAAATTACTGTGGACCATTGATGTTATTTTGAGGACTAAGGTGTGCCTGATTCGGACCATCGTCTTTCCAGTCATTTGCTATGTATGTGAAAGCTAGAAAATGAATAGGGATGATAGAAGAAAAATTGATACTTTTGAATTTTGATGGTGTAGGAGAGTACTGAATATCCCCTGGACTGCCAAAGAGCAACCGGGTATGTCTTGGAGAAAGTGAAGCTACAGTACTCCTTGAAAGAAAGAATTGTGACACTTTGTCATACACACTTTGGGTGTGTTACTAGGAGAGGCTATTACTTGGAGAAAGACATCATGCTTGAAAAAGTGAAGGGACAGTGAAGAAAAGGAAGACCTTCTACCAGGTGAAGTGATACAGCGACTGCATCAGTGGGCTCAAATGTGTCAGAGATTGTAAGGATGGCACAAGATAGTATAGAGTTCAGCTCCATTGTTTATAGGGTCACTATGAGTCGTACTCAACTTGATGGCGCCAGTAATAATAATTGAATTCTAACACTCTACAACCAGACCTCATGTTCAGGTTCATTTTCTCTGCCAATACAAATGCCACAACCATAACATTATTGAATTCAGGATTTTCCTTTATCAAGTCAACCCTGCTTCTGAGTTTATACTTTTTTTAGCCTTTGTTGTTTACACTAGAGGAAAAATAATTTAAAAGAGGACAGAGGAGACCAAAACCACAATAAATTAAAATTTTATTTTAAGACAATGAAACTGCCAAGGAAGCTGTCAGTGGTCGCTGTGAACAGGGTTAGTGTTCTTAGTGGTGGAAATGGTGGGGGGTTGATTTCTTGCCTTCTAATGTGGATCACTTCATTTACTCAAAACAGACATTTATCTCTGTCAGGCCCTTTTGAAGATACTTGGGAGTCACAGGTTAACAATACAGAAAATTCACTGCCCTTCCAAACTTTACCTTTTCATGCAGTTGCAGAACAAGGGGAAAGTATAGTCATTAAATAAATTATATGGCATGCTCACAGTAGTTATTAAAGAAATTGTATGGCGTGTTCACTATGGACAGATAAGTGTATGTGATGGGGCAGTGTCTCAGGAAGCTTCTGACATGTTGGAATCCTTGTGGAAGGAAAAGCTCTGTCAACCCTCATGTGGAGAAGGAATTGGATGACTGGCACTTCCCACAAGCAGAGCACATGTAGGGCTTCTCTCCTGTGTGGATCTGCTCGTGAGGCAGCCGATTGGCTCTGTGGCTGAAGCCTTTGCCACAGAAGCTGTATCTGAAGGGCTTCCCAAGCCTGTACATACCTCGTGCACTGTCAGGACTGACTGCTGGAGGAAGCTTTGGGGGCACTCTATACAAGCATATATGGCTTCACACCCTTGTGTTTTCTTTGAGAGAAAATGGAAAGACCTTGGGACATTCCTGATATCTGTATAATTTGGGTGATACTGGAATTCTTTCCTGTTGTCTTGCATCTGGAAATTGTCTCTCACTGTTCCTTTGTGCAAAGCCAGCCAGGCTCACAGGTGGCTGGGTCTGGCTTGCATATAAGATCTGTAGGGACACCCTTATGCTGCCAGGGCCTCTTTTTGAGATCCTGAGGCACCTAGCCCTGCATTTTTGAGGTTTTTTTGTGTTGTGCTGACAAGCTTCTCCTTTTTCAGGTCTTGAAAAACTCTCTTCCAGGATAATCTGTCTCTTCCAGGTTCTCAAGTGTGTCCTCTGTTAAGATTGTCATGGTTTTGTTTCATCAAGGCTGGGTTACTGCCACCTTTATCTTCTTCTCCTGCCAAAATAAAGGGATAATTCCATGAAATTGTACTCCCAGAAAGCCCACACAAAACATGCCCCATTAATCCAGATTCACTCTACTCACCTTTGAATGGGTACGGGTATCTTCTGGAGCTTGGAGGGGGATCCTCATGTTATTTCCTTTAGGATTGGTTCCTGGGTGACAATATTTTCTTGAAGTGAAAAATGACATCTTTTAAGGACATACACCTAGGAAAGAAGGCTTCTTGTCCCTGCATGTAGACTTGGACCTGTCATCTTTGTGACTGTCCTGTCACCAGTGAGGCTGAGGCCATTGTGATCTCTTGTCAGGCTTTCTCAGTGTTCCTTGACTCAGGATATCCATAACTACCTATCCTTTTCTTAGCATGGATTGTGTCAAATGAAATAATCATTATTTGTTTGGTATGTCTTCTCTGATTACTAAAAATAATATAAAAACTTTAAAAAATGAGTACTTTCAAGAGACCATTGATAGCAGATTTGCCCAGTGCAATATATCTTTTTATTTATTAACTGCTGCTGCCATGGGTGTGAATTTTCCATCCAAGGAAAATGAAATATTTGACACCTTCAGTCTTTTCTCTGTCTATCACTATGTTGCCTATTGGTCCAGGGGTGAGGACTTTTTTGTTCTCTTGATATTGATGTAATCCATACTGAAGGTTGTAGTATTCAAGTTTATTAAGTAAGAGCTTCAAGTTCTTTTCACTTTCTGCACACAAGATCATGTCACTTCTATAAAACAGGTTGTTTACCAGTCTTCCTCCAATTCTAATGCCACACTTCATATAGTCAATCTTCTTGAATTATTTTATCAACTTACAAATTGAACTTTTTTGTTTCTGTTACATGCCATTGAGTCACCTGCGACCCTATCTGAACCCTCCCCTATCCTGAGCCAGTCTCACTAATTCTGACACACCAACCTTCATTGCCCCAGTCACTGTGTCAATCCATCTCATCCAAGGTCTTCCTCTCCTGCACTGTCATATTACCCTTCCAAGCATGATTTCCTTCTCAAAGGACTAGTTTCTCCTGGCCACGTGCTCAAAGTCTATGACACGGAGCTTCAAAATCCTAGCCTCCAAAGAGATATTTGGTTTCACCCCCTCCAAAGCAGACATATTTGTTTTCTTGGCAGTCCATGGTATGTTCAAGTTTCTTCTCCAGCACTACAATTTGAAGCATTGACTCTTCTGTCATTCTTAGTCATTGTCCAATTTTCTGATGCCTATAAAGTAATTGTGAAGACCATGGCCTGAATCAGTCACACCTTAGTCTCTAGACTGACATTGTTGCTTCTCAGTACTCTGGAAATATCCCTGACAGCAGATTTTCTCAGTGCAATGCGTCTTTTGATTTTCTGACAGCTGGCACCCATAGTGTTGATTGTGGAGCCAAGCAAGCTGTAATTGTTAACAATCTCAGTCTCTTCTCCATCTATCATGGTGCTGCCAATTGGCCCAGTGGTTAGAATTTTTGTCTTCTTGATGTTGAGCTTCAACCCATATTGAAGACTACAATCCTTGACCTTCTTCAAGCAAGTGCTTCAGGTCTTCTTCAGTTTCAGCAGGCAAGGTAATGTCATCTGCATAACGTGGTTGTTGATGTTTTTTGCTAATCCCGATGCCACTTTTCTCCTTATAAAGCCCTGCTTCCTGGATGATCTTTTCTGCATATAGATTGAAAAAGTATAGAGACAGAATGAATCCCTGATACACTTCTTTCCTGATTTTGAGCCATGCAGTGTTTCCCTCCTTTGTGGTCTGCTTCCTGGTCCAAGTATAGGTTTCACATAAGGACAATCAGGTGTTCTGGGATTCCCATTCTCCTCAATGTTAGCCACAATTTGTTGTCACCCACATAGTGAAATGCTTTTGTACAGTCAGTGAAACACAGACATTCCTCTGGTACAATTTGCTTTCTGCCAAGATCCACCTGACACTAGCAATAATGTCTCTTGTGCCATGACAACCTCTTCTAAACCCAGCTTGTATTTCTGGTAGTTCTCTGTCAAAGTACTGTTACAGTATTTTCTGGATAATCTTCAGCAGTATTTTTCTTGTGTGTAATATTAGTGATTTTTTAAATAATTTCCATACTCTCTTGGGTCACCTTTTTTAGGAATGGGAATAAATATGGATTTTTAAAAATTTTTTTAGTTTATTATTAATTTCAATGAAAATTTACAGAGACTTTGGATTTCCATTCATTCATTGTTGCACTTTTCCCCCTTCATAACACTCCTCTGTAGTGTTTCCTCTTGGAAAAGTAAAATTCCTTTATTGTTTTATAATTCCTCCCCTCAGGTCCACTCCACTGTACAACCTTCTCTCTGGACTCCTGTCATGACAAAAATACTTATCAATTTTCCCTTTTAAACAGTTTTCTCCCTCAGCTGTTTCAATGCAGTATACATTATTGAACCCATCCTTCTCAGTCTCCTCCCAACCCTGAGGTCAGTCCTGATTTACAACAGTGGCACCATGCAGTATTTGTCCTTTTGTGACTGAGATACTTCACTCAGCATCATGTCCTCCAGGGTCACCCATTTTGAATAATATTGCATGAGTTCCTTGTTTTTCAATGCAACATAGTATTCCATTGTGTGAATATACCACAGCTTCTCTATCCATTTGATTGTTGATGGGCACTTAGGTTGCTTCCAAATCTTTGCTATTGTGAACAAAGCCATGATAAACATGGATGTGCATATATCTGCTTGGATGTCTGCTATAGTCTCTTTAGGGTATATTCCCAGTAGTGGAATTGCTCAGTCAAATGGTATCTCTATTTGCAACTTTTTGAGAAAGCACCATACTGCCTTCCATAGTGGTTGCACCATTTTCCATTAAGTTGACCAAGTAGTTGTTCTCAAGATTTCTTGGCACAACTTGATGAGCACATCAAGGGCAGCATCTGTTTGCTGAAATATGTCAATTGTTATTCCATCAGTTCCTGAGGCTTTATTTTTTTGTCACGTCCTTCAGAACCTGAATTTCCTCCTTCATCACTATTGAATAGGTGTGGTGAAATCATAGAACCCTGGTAAACACTTTTTCTTGTTTTAAACCATATAATATCTTTTTGTTTTGTTCAAATAACTGCTGCTTTGTTCATGTACAGATCTGCTTGAGCACAATTAAATGTCCTGGAATTGCATTCTTACAACTATAATCCATAATTTAATATGATCCAAGGATTCAGATGCTTTTGCAGTTTTAAAAACACAATTAGACATCTTTCTGGTTTCTATGTTTTCATCTAAGATCCATCTGACATCAACAGTGATGTTTCTTTTCTTTTCTCCTTGTGTTTTTAATAAGCTTTTGCTTTCTTCGATGAACAGCCTACAATTTGATGGGATCCTGCAATTTGTCTGGTCATTGGTGTTCAGTGCATTCAGTCTACCTTTGAAATGGTTTTAAAGTCAGGTGGTATAAGTTCATGGCTGTATTTTGACTCTTGTTGTTGTTGTTGATTGCTTTTGAGTCGAGCAGCATACTTCGGGAGTGTTGCTAAGAGGGGCTGTCCCTTGGAAAGGGACATGATGCTTGGAAGGGGACATGATGCTTGGAAGGGCGCAGAGTTGATGAAGGAGAGGAAGACCGTTGGCCAAGTGGATTGACACAGTGACTGCTGCAATGAGCTCTAGCGTGTCAGAAAGTGTGAGGATGGCACAGGACAAGACAGGGTTCAGATCTGCTGTTCATAGGGTTCCTCTAGGTCGTACTTGATTTGAAGGTACCAAACATCACCCACAATACTCAAATTTTTGTTTTTATCTTGCTGTTTATTATTTTGTACAACAGAATGTTTACTGATTTAAAGACTGAGGTACACCTGATCCAAACCTTGGGGTTTTTAATTACTTCCTGTGAGTCTTAAAGGTAAGCAGTGAAGAAAAGGAATAAATTCCTTTGAATTGTGATGGTGACCAAGAATACTGAATATTGCTTTTATTCCCAAAATAAAAACCAAATTTGTCCTGAAAGAAGTGAAACCAGAGCATTTTCTAGAGGCAAGAGTGGTCAAACTTCGACTCAATTATTTTGGGCATATTTTCAGGAGGAATAAGTCCTTAGAGAACTTCATATTGGGAAAGGTGTTGGTTGTGTGCTGTTGAGTCAGACCCTGTAGTGGGTTTGCAGAGGCAGTTAATTGCATAGGAGGAGATTGCCTAGCCTTCTCCTGTGGAGTAGCTTGGTACATTCGAACTGTGTATCTTTGAAATTTCAGCGCAGCTTCTTAACCACTAGGTCACTAGCACTCCCTTTTTTGGGAAAGATAGTGAGAGCAAAAGAGAGTAAGATGCTCGACATGATGGTTTGTCATAGTGACCATGACAGTGGGCTTGAGCATGACTGAGATTGTGAGAAGGGTTTAGGATAGGGCAAGTTCAGATCTTTGTTCATATAGGCCATTAGGAATCATAGTTGACTTGACAGCACCTAACAGCAATGACAAAAACAGCAATGTATTTATTACTTCTGTGTTTACAGTATAACAAGTAGCAATAAAAAAAAAGCAGTTGAAGCTATTTTATTATCCTAGCAAAATCTAATGTCAATAAAAGCTAGCAAGTAAGCTAGATGGAGAAATCTCCATGTGGGGGAAAAGACAGAGGGGTTAATTCAAATGACTGGATTTCGTTTCATCACTGCTTTTGTTAACGTTGTGATTATTGAAGGGAGCATTGCTGACTGAAATGCCAGCAGTTTAAATTTACCACTTACTGTTCAGGAAAAAGATGAACAGACTCCTCTCATAAAGATTTACAGCCTCAGAAACCCAGTTGAGGGCATCATGAGTCAGAATCCACTTGACACTAGTGAATTTGGGGATTGCTGAACCATTTATTTTAATGGAATTACTAGTTAAAAATCTTGAGAGGTGATGACCTAGTCACTAGGTCACTAGCTGACCTAGTGTGGGTTCAGACTCGGTTGCTTCTGTCAAGGTTAGGTCACTTTCTACTGACCTCAGTCTCTTTGGAGACCTGTAGGTAATAACATTTAAGTGAATACATATACTTTTTAAAGGCAGTAAAAAAATAGCAAGCTACAACCCTAGATTAATGTTATTAGAGGAAAAGAAAACCTTTTGGGCTCCAACAGTTATTTTCCTGAGCATGTTTCAGGTACCACATGCAGAAATAAAAATACTCCAACTGCTTTGCTGATGCTCCAACAATCTTTGGCTTGAGAAATGATAGTGTATTCCTAAAAGACATGAAAATAACAAAGTA